TTTTTAAAAAATTTTTTTTTTCATAAAAGTATTCTTAAATTTTTTAAATGGCACTATACACAATTTTTTTCTATAAAAGGGTGTTTTTTTAAGCTTTATTTTTTTAAGCCCGATAGAACTTAAAATTGTAAAAACTAACACAAAAATTAAATTATAATAAAAAAATTTTTTTATTATAATTTAATTTTTGTGTTAGTTTTTACAATTTTAAGTTCTATCGGGCTTAAAAAAACACCCTTTTGTAGAGGTCTTTAAGACATTCAAATTACTATCGCGAAATGTCACTTTTATTAATGTTTTATTGATACTTAGTATCAAATTCGCATCATTATTAATAGCAGTACTTATAACTTTTGACTAGACAAGAACATACATACATATAGAAGTTACAGTTTTTCTTTATTGATTTATGCTTATAATAGTATTCTTTATGAATATTTATGATACATACATATTATGTATTTAATAAAATATGCAATAAATACAACATTAATAAAGGTGACATTTCGGTAGTATTTATAATTTAAATTGAATTCGTCTTGAAGACCTTTGCAATATTATGGAAAAAAATAATATGCCATTTAAAAAATTTAAGCTAATTTTTTCTGAAAAAAAAATTTTTTTATATTTTTTCTTGCATGTTATAGCCTGTATGAAACAGATAAATACTTACCTTTCAACTTTTTTTTTTAACTGTCTAAAGTGTCCGAAAAGTCATGCGGACTGTTACGCTGAATACTCTGTATATAAAATTTCTAATTAATATCTAATTTCTGTTTTTCATTTAAATTGTATTATTAATACGTGGATGAATTAATAAATAATCTCAATTTTTATTTATATTAATTTTGATATGTATAATATATAGTATAATATATTATGTATACACATATACATGATAGGTCAATCAGTTAATCAATTATCATTATATGTCAAATATATGTAATTATCAGATATTATAATGATGAAGGTGATAAAAATTCAGATTACTCACCCACGTATATAATTAAAATAATATCTACAATTGAAATTAAAAGCAGAAATTAGACATTAAAAATCGACTTGCGTTATCAAATGGAAAATATTCGTTTCGGAGCGGAATAGATCAGCGAGAGACAAACGTTCGGACATAAAACGGATAAATCCGTATATAGGTATATTTCTTCGGATATTGTCACGTGTACGTATCGTGCGTATTGTTAAATATACGAGGCCTGGGGCTCCGAGGTATAATAAATTTCTCCCTTCCTATCCGTCCATCACGCTCGCTTCGCGTTCGCTCGCCTACCTTTTCCCATAACCGCAGCGCCGCAGCCGTTACCAATCCGTCTGCGGCGCAGGCCGATGGCCTTTTCGCTCGGCTCCGTCTGTCTCATCTCGTTCCTCGTTCCTTGTTCCTCGACTCGCAAACGTGACTATACCGCCGCCACCGCCGCCGCCGCCGCCACTGCCATCGCCGCCGCCGCGCCATGTATCGATCGTGGTCGATGCTTGCCCGTCGAGCAAAATAACGTTAATCAAACGAGAGGGTGGAGGGGGCAGGTGGCGACTGCTCCCCTCATTTGGGGCTGAAGAAACATCCGGCAGTGACATTGAAATTACCGGCCGCAGTACACACGAGAATGTATGTATGCCCCGGGTAGTGCACTCGATACAAGTCTTGCTGACACTGTGGACGCTATTTGACATTTAATTCCCGATGAGCGTAAATTCGTGGGCATAGATTTTCACGGATAGTTCGATTAACTCGATTTTTCGAAAATATCCATCTGAATATATTCTAAAGTTGTAAAATTTGAAGAAGAGTTAAGTCCTTAAAATATTAAAATAGAGAAAAAAGAGAGAACATCAATTCTCAAAGTTTTAAATCAATTTACGAAGCATTATTTAAATTGCCACCGGAGGAACAATCAATCATAGAAAAATCTGTAAGAGTGTATATTGTTAAACGCTGTAAAGTAACGCGTTTTTACAAAGAATATTATTAATCAATCTTTAAAGTTTTAAATTATTGATAATCGATAAGAACATCGTAAAATCTTAGCTTCATCAATATCAGTGATTATCGCTGTGGCGATAATCACAGATAGATAACGAAATAAAAAAACTTTGTTTAACGATTCTTTTTTTTAAACTGTTCGCGATTACTCCCGTATATCCTGGCTTTTCGAGATTCTTTTCGATCACCCCGTAGAAAAGCACGCACCAGCAGGCTGCGTCGAAGGGCGATGCACCAACGGTTACCGTTCCCGAAGGGCGGTTGCCATCCCCCTTGGTTCCCGCCGCACCACCGTCGCTACCACCACCATCACGAGCGGCAACGGACTCGACCCTCGTCGGAACAACTCCGGTTCGAAGGGTTGGGGCGGTCGATGCAGCGTTACCATGGAAACCAGACGCGCCGTCCGCCACCCCTTCCCACGGTGCATTCAACCGTGGGGTTGTGCGATCCGCGTTCGAAAATGCAACGGTACTTCGATAACGGGAATTATCCTTGCCAAGGACACGTTCCTACGCCCGTTTCCCCTTGATCCCCCGTCGCATTTTTTATTCAGACACTTCATCCCCTCGCGCGCGAGAAAGAATTAACCTTCCTCTTCCTCCCTCGTTATATCCCGTTGCGGTACGTGATTTGTCATACGTGCACGATCGTTTGAAATTACGTTTTTTTTATATTCTTCTCCCGACAGTTGAAGCGTACATGTTCAAAGACAGATGTTAAAAGTTAAAATGAAATAAACTGGGTGAATGCATAAAGTAATAAATTTTTATACAAAATCATGTATCTTTAACGTATTCCAGATTTTACTTTAAAAAGCTAACAAATAAGTGAAAAAACAAAAAACATACTTGCTATTTTCATAGCTGACCTATCTCAATTATATACATTGATTGATTATTGAACTGCATACATTCAATATACATATTTTACGTAAACAATACATTAAGTAGTTTATTATTAATATTTTATAAGTTAAATATTTCAACAATTTGCCATTAGCTTTTTCATTATATACATCGCATTGATATCGTATCAAAGTTAATGATTATTTCCGATAATAAAATGCTATTTCTTTTCATCTCAATAAATCTCATAAAATCCGTTTTGTCTTTAAAAGCTTTAAAGGAGCTATTGTTGATATGTAAAATACAAATAATTCATTTTATTAAAATATGCGTGCTGAATATTTTTTGCATGAAATTATTTCAACGGGAAGATATTTTATGTATATACACAGTACACTGTTTTTATACGTAGACTTCTTCACAATGGCGTGAATTCTTACTTTTGGTGAGTTCATCGCGCGTTCCTCGCTATTTCCTCGGCCTTGGTATGTTAAACACGACTTTCCGGCGACCTCGGGCTCCACGGACACTTCCCTCAGGAGCGTTCACCTTTTATCTCGGGAGTTAATCGAAATTCTTGCACGAAGACGGCGCGCACTAGTCGCGCTCGCGAGCGAGGACTCGCCGGCGCAGCAACTTCAGAAAGTGTTTCCTGGAGCGCGCGAGCAAGATGCTCTTTGTTCTCTTCGCCTCCGCGCTTTCCTCTCTTCCTCTATCTGTGGCTTCACTATCTTGTTTCCAATATTATATTATCGCGAATTTCGACCACTGTTCGACCTCGATTAAAAAATATGAAACAAATCGAATAAAAACGATTTTGAGGGAAAAGAAAATGTCGATATTTTCTATCAAGTCTTTCTTGCACCGATGAGATAATAGGCCTTTCTCTCCAAGAGGAAGGAAGAGGAAAAAAGATGAACTGGTGCAAAAATTTAGTCAAAAAAAAAACAAGCCTAATGTCGGTTGATGCACAAAATTTCCGAGAAATGATATTTTCATTTAGACAAGCTTAACACGTTGAAAAAGATCCTCTTCTTTCTCTTTCTTCCTCTCTTTCTCTTATTTATTCTCTCTCTTTCTCTCTCTCTCTTTTCTTTCTTGTCGACATTACCTCTTTCGCGTTGCTCCTCCTCTTCCTCCTCCTTCTCTCGAGCGTGGAAAAGCGAGTGTCGTCGCACGGTATCCGATAAATTCGCTCGACTGGGTGGGAGAGAAGTACGATAACCTTCGCATTTGTGACCTTGGACTCGCAATTTATACCAGTCCTCCCTCATTCTTCCTTTTCCTTCGCCGCCGGCGCACGTCGTTTCCTTTCCTCCGGCCACTTGGACGATCTCTGTCTTCTTCTGACTGCCAGGTGAAACATGGCCGTCCGGCTCGAGCGATTTAATTAGACGGACCGAAGCCTCCTGCTCGTCGCGAGCCACGCGAATAACCGCTGTGCCTTGGGGGGGTGTGAAGAAGGTGAAAAGGTAGCCAGACGTACGCGTGGGAATCGCAATAAAAGAAACCTTTGAGATAGGAAACACCGTAATAACAATTAATCGCAACGACAATGGCCTGCCTCTCTCTCTCTCTCTCTCTCTCTCTCTCTCTCTCTCGAGGAACAGTCAGGGAGCGACCGATAGTTGAATAAATAAATATTACAACGTTATTATACTATTGTTATAGTAGATACTATTACCGATAAGACACAGAATAATATGATATTCTCTTCCGTTACTGCAAACTCTCTCACGGATGAAGTAAAATGTACAGAGAAATTCGCATTACTCTTAGCAAAGCTCCGTTATTAAAATTTTATTTTATACTAGCGTGTTTTACATAACAGAAAAATATATAGACACACTCGGTTACATCATTACGTAGTTATGACGCTAATAATTAATGAAATAAATTTTAATAAAATCATCATTTTAATGGAAAATTAAAATTGTAAAGAGAATTTAGAAAAACGTATGTAAACATGTACTTTTGAAATAAAGTGACAGAAATAATGATATAATTGTTAAAATGTTTCAGATACAACAAAATTTTGTATCTTGTAATATTTTGTTGAAATAATAGTCTATAATAATAGAATAATAATATAATAATGATGTATACAAAATGTAGCGATACACGATATAAATATTGGTGATTTCTGCTTGCAGGGATGCCGGTTGACTGAAGATGGCCTCGCCGACACCCTCATTGGAATCGCGCGCAAATTCCCTCGGGTCCCCGGTCTCGCTGTCCCCAGTAACGGTGAGCGGCAGCTCGCCGCCTGCTAGCGATTCGGCGATCTGTGACGTCGACAGCTGCGACTTGTGCCTCGACGCGCCAAAGTCGGGCGAAGATCCGTGCCCGCGCTGCCGACTGGGTAGCACCGGTGGCACCAGTCGCATCCGTTGCACCGGTTGCAAATCCACTGAAGCTGGCGCTGTAGCGCGTTGTTACGATTGTGATCAATTTCTCTGTCCAAATTGCGTGATGGCACATCAATACATGCTCTGTTTCGAAGGCCACCGATTATTGAACCTGGCCGACTCCAAGCTGGAGACCGTCGGTAGCGGCGGCGGCGGCGGGGGGGGGCGGTGGTGGCAAGACTCTGGTTATCAACGGCACCGGAAACAGCAACAACGGTGGCAACGCCGAGAAGGTACACTTCTGTTTGCGACATAAGCAGGAGATAATCAAGTACTTCTGCCGAAGCTGTAATGTGCCAATTTGCAAAGAGTGCACGCTGACGGAGCATACTGCGCCGCTACATGACTGTGCCCACGTCACGGAAGTAGGCTCGCAACAACTGGAAGCATTGTCGCGGATCATCCAGGAGTGTCGCTCGAAGGCGGCGGACGCGCGTGCGGCGGTCAAAGCAACGGACCATAATACCGCAATACTACAGGTGCAGTATCACAAAGCGCAAAATGAGATCAACGATACCTTCCAGTTCTATCGATCGATGCTGGACGAGCGCAAGCAGGAGCTGTTGAAGGAACTCGATTCGGTGTTCTCGACCAAGCAAATCTCCTTAAATGTGCTCTCCCAACGAGCCAATGAGATGGCGGACAAAATGATGCAGACCTGCGACTTCGTTGAGCGTGTAACCAAAGTTACCACTATCACAGATTTCCTCATGGTCAAGAAGATCCTTGAGGCTAAGCTTCAGTCACTGCTCAGTTACACTCCAAATACAGACATTGCCAATCAGACAGCGGACCTCGAATTCGTCAGCAATTATCAAGCGATACAAGTGGGAGTGAGGAATACCTTCGGTTACGTTCGGAGTAATAGTAACAGCGAAAATAACGCGATCGGCAAACAACCACCTATCGCACGACCTACTGCTCTGTCGAGCAACGGCATTGGTAGCAGTAGCAGCAGCAACATTAGCAACGGACCCGGAAGCGGCGTTGGTTCTCTGGGCAGTCTTCTCTTAGATCGGACTTACAGTAACGGCCTGATCTCCTCCAGTATGAACTGCGGCTCGTCATCCTCACCTTCCTCGATCGACACTGTCAGCAGCGTGATCTCAAAACGTTTCAGTTCGGCCAATAGTCTCGGCCCATTCTCCACGACGATCAGCGACGTAAACTTAAACGGCATGAATACCAATCCATATGAGAAATGGAGCAACGGCGGTAGTGACACTTACCCGGTCGTGACGACGAACGATCATTTCGCGATGCCGTCGGTAGCTGTAGCGACGAACGCCGCACCAGGCGATTCCGTCCTTGACTTGACTTCGAAACTGATGTCCGCCACCGCGATATTCCCGCCCAAGTCACAAATTAAACGACAGAAGATGATCTACCATTGCAAGTTCGGTGAATTTGGCGTGATGGAGGGTCAGTTCACCGAGCCATCGGGCGTCGCGGTAAACGCGCAGAACGATATCATCGTTGCCGACACGAACAATCATCGCATTCAGATCTTCGATAAGGAAGGCAGGTTCAAGTTTCAATTTGGCGAGTGCGGTAAACGCGATGGCCAATTACTTTATCCAAATCGCGTCGCCGTTGTGAAGACATCTGGTGACATTATTGTTACGGAACGTTCGCCGACCCATCAGATTCAAATTTACAATCAATACGGTCAATTTGTACGCAAGTTTGGCGCAAATATCCTCCAGCATCCACGTGGCGTCACCGTCGACTCGAAAGGACGGATCGTCGTCGTAGAATGCAAAGTTATGCGTGTCATCATCTTTGATCAGACTGGCAACGTTCTACAAAAATTTGGTTGCTCGAAACATCTCGAATTCCCGAACGGCGTGGTGGTGAATGATAAACAGGAGATCTTCATCAGCGACAATCGCGCCCATTGTGTCAAAGTTTTTAACTACGAGGGCTCTTACTTACGACAAATTGGCGGTGAAGGTATCACCAATTATCCGATTGGCGTGGGCATCAATACGCATGGCGAGATACTGATAGCGGACAATCATAACAATTTCAATCTGACTATCTTCACGCAGGATGGTCAGTTGGTCTCAGCTCTTGAGAGCAAGGTGAAGCACGCACAGTGTTTCGACGTGGCGCTAATGGATGACGGCTCGGTCGTACTGGCCAGTAAGGATTACCGGCTGTACATATACCGCTATGTACAGGTACCGCCGATTGGCATGTAGAGCAGTGACGCGTCACGACGACGACGATGATCGTCGTGCGCCAGTGTCAACGTTTTTCATCGTGTCATTGTCATCGCCATCATCATCGCCGCTCTTCGTCGTTGGACGGTCGCGTGGCCACCACGATCTCATCGATCTTTTCTCTCACCTACCTTCGCTTGTCTTCTACGTCTGCTTCATCGTCAACGCTCGTGCGCTCAACTCACCATCTTCTTCGCCATCATCTATTCATCACCTTCTTCGCTCGCCCCAACGAGACCTTTCACGCCGACCACGAGAAAAAAGCGCACCATTTATTGCTTCATATATGACTCTCAAGGAACCGACTCCCGAGCGAGTGTCGTTTACGCGGCAAGAAAATGGGAGTCCCCTCGCCGGAACTTTCCCGAGGCGCTCCTCTTGTGGACTCTGCCGAACGACGGACATCACCGACGGTATGCGAGAAAGCACGCGCGCGCTTCCCTCGATATCCTCCTCGCGTTTCCGCGAGCTATCCCTCTTTATCCCGCGTGGACGAGCGGAAAGAAAGAGGAAAAACGCGCGACGCTTTGTATGCATAGCCCTTGCGATGCTGGGCTGTTTAGGACCCGCGAGAGAGAGAGAGAGAGAGAGAGAGAGAGAGAGAGAGAGAGCAACCCTGCCCCGAAAAATTCGCGCGCGCTCCTTTCTTCACGCGTACGCGCTATGAATACGCGTGCGCGTACGCGATAACTTACTTGTTAATGTTGTTATAATACTGAAAATACTGTTGTTGTTGTTTAGTTGTAGAGCTCGCCGCCGCTAGTCACTTCCCCCCTCGCCTTCCACCCTCCGATCCTCTTCCCTTCACGCCCATTCCCTTCGTTACCATTCTCCTACCTTCCCATTCCCATTTCCCACACTAACCACGGTCTTCTCTCTGAGACCTCGTCCGACGATCACATCAGGAAGTGCATTTCCACTCGTCGCGACGACATGGTCCACACTAACACATGCATCGAGTTGTTACGTGTGCCCGAATCCACGCGCGTATTATCATTTTTGTTACTCTCTTTGATGGTGATCGATCGCGACCGTCGCGCTCGGGTCACTTCCGATCATCGCGCTTGAAATGTCTCCCTCCAAATGCCGTGCGAGGTTCGCGAGGAATGTCCGTTCGTCGCGCGAACATCCGTTTCGATGTATATCTCGTGAGAGATTCGTTTTGAGATCTATGAAATCCAACGATTTTCTGCAAACCGTTTTCAACAGGTTTGATTTTGTCCCATGGGACATGAGACTGATTGCCGCGAGTAATTATTGCTTTACTTCGATAAGCTTCGAATTAGCTCATACATCATCAGCACATCTTATTCGCGGTTTTAAACGATTTTGTTTCCCAAATTGTTCATACGTTATTTCTATGGACAATTGTTTGATCTTATTGCGTAAGACATTAGATTGATCCATATGTTATCAATATATAATATGTTTGCGGAGATAGTATGAGAAATTGTTGGAGACATTAATAATTTCATCATTATATTTCAATACAATAATATATATAATATAATATATCGATATATTTGGGTAGCAGACTCGCCGAAGATTGTTGAATCGTGTATGGGCGCGTTTGGGACTGTGCTGATCATCCGAGATCAGCTTGACCCAATTAATTTTCCGTGAGATGCGAGAATAGAAGCGGATTCTAAGTAACCGGACGACAGGACATCTTATATGTTGCGGATCGATAGATTGTATATTCCCTATGAATTTGCCTTTTGATTTCCATCTCATACGTCTTTCCCCTTCGTTTTGTAACGGTTATCGACAATTCCTACGGAAATTCATTCTGAGGTGCATTTCGTAACTATGACAGCGTTTTGTTGAACGTCATTGAACGGTCATCGCACGCATTTATTTTTTTTTTGTCTTTCCAACTTATTATTATTATTGATCAGTTTTACTTACGTAATTTTCGCACCTCCCACCCCAGTACATTCGTCTCCATCGTTTTGTCGCGAAATCGTATCGACCTACGTTAACTTTTTGGTCAATAATTACTTTTCTCACTCAGTTTACGTGATAAATTTAATAACTTTTGTCGGCGAGTATATGCTGAGTGCTTATCGATGGTATCATTATTCATTACGTTTAAATATATGTCACGATACGTTTCGAATAAATTCGCGGAAAATCGTACCAAGTAACGTTAAACGCTTACATATGAGATCCTGAATTCACTTATAGATAACGCAAATAACTAGAAATAAAGATCGTTCAACTCAAGGAGATACGCAGGAAATTTATAGAGACCTGAATGATGTAGTATTACAGGAAATGAATCTCAAGAAAAGAAATAGGATGTTTGGCGTTTGATTCAGGCGTATAAAAAAAGAAGCCGATTGCGTATACTACAGTTAAATTATCGAGGCTCATTCTCGACTTTCATAGCAAAATAACGCAATCGTTTTAACGTAATCACTATCTTCATTAACGATATGAAAACAGAAGACGAATTGTCATTGTCGTTTCTAACTTCCCATTTTACAGCAAAATCCTCTTCCTTTTTCTTTCTTATTAGCGTAGTTAGTATTGTAGCGCATATAGTAGCTATTAGCCGGTTTAGCAATCAGTGTAAGACTTTTCCTTTTTGCTCTATATCTCATTCTCTCGATAGTTACGTTACAGCCTGATGCAACTTTTATTTTTCTCTCTTTTTCATTTGTGTCGCTGCGCTTAAAAAAAGAATGCGTTGTTGCTACCGCTTATGTTTTTGAATTCTCACGAAACCATCATCTACCCGAACTACCAACGATGAGAACTACCACCACCACCCTCCGATTCCCACCTGACTGCCGCGCAGCCGTTTTAGGTTTGCGCCGGAGTCTGTTTCACTTAAAAAGAAAACTTATAGTATTAATATATTTTGTTGGATGGATCGCCAATCGCGGAAGTCCTCACAAGTCCTCCGCTGCGCGACTCCGTGCATGTTTGCTATTATATTTTTTATTAATATTATTATATTATTATTATTCTATTATTATTAACGTGTTGCGACTTTCGATTGTCGATACAAGATGTCATCCAACGCCCCTGTATTATGAAGAGAAAAAGGCTAGCTGGCATGACCTAACGACTCTAATTACAATGAGGATTCGTGGATTATATCAGGATCTTTGAAGATCATCAGAGATTGCTTCATTGATGCAAACATCAACTTAATTCTGAAAATTTTGGAAAATTCTTAGATTGCTCTAAGGTTTTCGGATTTTTGCACTCAATCGTTTATTAAAAAAAAGAAAGTTATTTCACCACTTTGAGAATATTACACATATTTTACACATAGATAATTATTGAATTTTTTTACAAAATTAATTTTCGATGACTCGATCGAGTATCGGATTGTTTCAAATCAATGACAGATTTTTAAATAGAATAATGAATTAAGTGGATAGAAATAACGATCTCTTAATAATTGACTCCGTAATTCGATTAGGATTCGAACGATAACTAATATTTAACATTTCCGCGTCTTCAAATAGTTTCGTAATCGATTGCAATCGAAGATCCTGGGATAATCCGCGATTATTGCTATCTCGTGATCGCTTGATTTGGTAGTCGATTTGATCAAGTCGGCAACAAGCTGATATTTACGAAGTCAGACTGAAGATTCATGGCATTCGATTAAGGACTTCGATCCAAAGACTTAATTCTTCGATCAATCTACCGTGAATTTATAATTCGAGAAACAGGAATTGTGATTTAAACGTTTTGTACCTGCTGTAGTCACTGTTTACAAGTATAAACGACTTTTAAAGAAAAGAAATACATGTGATCAAAAAAATATATAAGTTTCAGTGACGTTTGTATAACGTTATGAATCTCATAACTGATGTTAATGAATATTTAAAGACACGCAAATTATGATGTACGACAAACGTTTTGCATCTGCGACGAACAAGTATGTGATATTCGACAGATACAGGTACTAAAATAGATGTTGAATCGTGAATCCTTTAATTTTTTTACACAATTAAAGACTACCGAACCAGGTGATCGTCGTTGAATTTTATCCTTGTTCGTCTGAAATAATTCCGTAGACATTCCGTGAGCATTTTCGATCTTCTTCCTTCGAGTCGCGTAAACGCTCAGAATCATATCGCGGAGTAGCACCTGTCGTTACATGTCGTTTGCCATCTCGAATGAAGGATTCGATATTATTTTTGACCTAAATGAAGTAAATTCTGGACATTTTCCGATTGGGATGTCCTCGTCATGAAGACGAAACTTTAAGGATGAACAAGGATATTAAAAATTAACAGGGTTTCCGCAGAGAAAACGAATGCAGAGATCACCGAGAATTATTTAGATCAATCTCATTTTTCATTATATCGCGATTTTGTTTCGATGTTTCTGTTTTAGTCTCTTGATTAAGCGCCATTCTCGCGTTGGCTCGGGCAAACCGTCAAGCTGTTTCAACATTAATCGATCACGCCTCCGTGTCTATTTTTTAAATAACTTGACAAAGACGGAATGCCAAGAGAACGACGCGAATGGAATATCAGTAATTCGAAATCTTTTTCTCTAGGAAGGGGGATATTAATTTAGGGAGGGGGAGGGGTGCACAGAGGAAACTTGCACCATCGAGACGGCATCACAAGGTATCTGTCCATTAGTATTTATATCGCATAAACATGCGTTGATCCCTAATTAACATTACTGTCATTATCATTATTGCTATTATTAATTAGTTATTATCGATTATTTAGTTACTATTATTATTATTATTATTATTATTATTACATTATTATCCTTATTAATCAGTTATTATATCGTTATTATATTGTATTAACGCGTTTGACGCGAAAACTGAGAAGAGACGATGCGCCACCTTGCCAGCTAGCCATCACTACCACTTCGCCGCTCTCATTGTCAGTAATCGGCCGTGAGGCGCGCGCACACAAGACAAGAGATTAAATTCCATTCCTACGCATTACTCCCAAAGTAAGAGTCCGCGAGATGTACGTACATGCGTGTGTGTATGTGTGTATATGTTACTACTGTGCCTGCGTGTGTTTTATATATGCGTGTGCGCGTTCGCATTGCTCGCGTTATCACCGAGAATGAGACGCGCTCCGCGATGCGCGCGAGAGATGAGAACGAATTACCGTTTCGACACTGTCACTTTTCTTCTCGCTATCAGCCACTCTTCTTCCTCTTTTTTTTGTACTGGTTTGTTATGTTATTATTATTAATATTATTATAATATTATTGTATTATTATTTTTAGATGATACAACTCGATTGTTCTTAATTTAATTGTAAATCGTATTTTTGTTTGTTTTTTAGTTATTTTTTGTTGTAAAATGCTTTTTAATAATATTTTCAGTTCACATTATAGATAAGCATTGGTCTTATTTTTATTTTCTACGTCTCTTGCCTGCTATTCCCTGACAACGGCGGCGGCCCGGTTCGGAAAATCAATATCCCCCTTTTGAGGAAAGTCCATTTTGAAGCATCGAATGGAAATGTAACTCTTAAGAAAAGTCCACTGTCAAATGAAAGTTTAATTAGTCATATAAAATTCCCAATTTTATTATTTCATTCTTGTTGCACATAGATTAAATATTCTTCGCTTAGTATCGCAATGCGACGGTGCTGTTTGAAATTCATTCTTAATTATCCATTACATAAATGATAAAAAAGTATTTTTATAGCATAGATACATAATTTAAATAATGTAAATTTGACTATTAATTCGTTATTTCATTAATTAATTATTTTTCTCATTTTTTTTTTTAGTAAATTGCTTTAACATAATCTCAAACTAACATATTTCTCGAACTGGTCCGTCAATATTTTCTTATCCGAGTAATCGAGTTTTCATTTACGATCCTTGTAGGCGTATCATATGCATTTTAACGCAAGTATGATCGACGAGAAAACCTACTCCCAACGAAGTTTCCTCGTCGATGGTGATCAGTACATTCCACTATAACGTGTGCGTTACATAGCTTTATGTTCCTGTTTGATTATAGATGATGCAGTATAGTCTCTATAGATCTCTTAACGTAGCTAGTTGTTTGTTGTCCACCGACACACATGTCCTCGTTACGTGTAACCGCTGGGATTTCTCATAGTAATTTAAAATCTATTATGCGAAAGAAGAAACACTGTCAAAAATAAAACCGAAATTTTATCTTTTATTCAAATTAACTATTTGTATTATGTGCCATTTCTTGATTTTTATTGTTAAAAATTATTATTAATTATATTATTCTATAGCGAGTTTCAGTATTTGTCATTTCTTTGATTTGGTCTATAAAAACCCGGAAAAAAATATTTTGTATGTAATAATTATATATAATTTTAAATAATTATGTA